ACCACAGAGCAAGGAACTGCAGAAGGGCTTCCTGACTAATGAGTGCTCTGCACAGAAGACAGATTGTGTCTCAAAAAGGGCATTTTGCTTCCAGAAGGAATGTGTACCTTTAATTGAAAATTATTTGGTAGACCTAGAAACTCGTTTAGGTAAATAATGTACTACATTTAATGTACATGCATATTTATAAAGATATGTAAATCAATAAATTTACAGGCAAATGAAGTAAAGCTGTTCAGATCACCTTCCTAAGAAAACAGGGATTACTGTGAAACTAATTTTTTAAGATAAAAAAAAATATCATGCACAAAATACATAAAGGCTGGCAAAAGATGCAGGACCTTTAATCTTTTAGTCTTAATTGACCTCCAGAATGTATCCTGTGTAACTGAAATCTGAGGTGAATTTGAATTTTGAAAGGAGTTGGGCTTGGTTGTGATGGGTACTTAAGGGCATCAAAAAGCTGTTTTGAGTTCTCACTGCTACTGGTAGCCTGTTACCTGTGTTTGACTGGGCAATCCACACATCTCTGTTGGTGGTATCAACAACTTGTTGATAGAAGAATTATTCATTTTGACTGGAAGGAGCTGAAAAATGTGGAACCAGAGCTACTGGTGGGTGCAGTGAGAAGCCAAGGATTTGAATTAGGGAAGGAACATTTGGGTTTATTAGCCATGGTAGTATCAAAAGTGAAATAGATGCAGTTGAATTACACTGGAGTTTCTACCTGTCCCTTGTCTTAGATTATAGAATCTTTATTTGGAAAGCACAGAGTGTATTTTGAATGCTGTCAAAATGTGACAAAGGTGGTGAGACATCAGGTGCTGAAATTCAAGTCCTGGTTTACCTCAGATGTGAATGCAGTAAAGACTTTGCTGCAGTTAAAGGTAGGTCAGTGGGAAAGCACAAACAGCTCTGAAATGGCATCTGTTCTCAACACCCAATTTACTTTCTGAATGTGTGACTTCAGACCTCATAGCTGCCAATAAAGTGCCTCTGACAAACGTCAAAAAACGACCCACCTTAACTATGAAAAGAAGAAGCACAAGGTAAGTTTCACTCCAAATAAGACAGTATCATTAAATACAAAAATCTGTTCGATTTCGGCTTATTTTTATTTAGGAAGTGAATAAAGTAGAAAGGATGAAGGAGTATTCTTATGGAAATGCAAGCTACTCCCCCTTCACAAACATTGTGAAAATCTGTCACCGTGCACCCAATAAAAGCCAGATCAATTAGCTACCTAACAAATATGTGCTAAAAGTGACAGGAACCTGAGAAATTGATCCTGGGCTTTGCAGCCACGCCCAGCAAAGCTGTGTGCCTGACATGCCCCCTCCCACTATTCCTTATGTGGGCATTTAGAGCACCAGGCTCACAGCATTGGGTGAAGCTGCTTAACGACTGAAGGTTGAGTTTACTGGAGCTCTTGTGGATGTGTATTTCATATTAACTATATATTTTTCAATGAACTTGAGGAGAGATCTGGCAAACAGCATTCTTTCCACTTAAAACACAAACGAAAAGCTCTAAGAGGTGGAATAGCAGTTTATTTTATAAAGGCATCAAACCCCAATTCTAAATAGCTTGGCAAAACAGTAGTGACAAGTCATGGTGTTTTAAAAAATAATCTGTTTTATTGAGAAAAGGTGCATGGAAAAACATGGGGGGTGTTGGGGTTGTTTGTTTGCTTTAATATACAAGAAGATTTATCTTGAAGGAGAACATCAAAGTAAACCAGCCTTCCAGAATTACAGTGTTTTCCAGTGATCAGTTTGAGTAGGTAACTTCATTGGTATTTGATGGACAGATGTTACACACTCATATTTTAACATCAGTGTGGAACAAATCAATTTTTCCTACAATTATAAATCTGTGGCAAAGAACTGTAATTGTATTAATAGTAAAGGACTGATCTTATTTTCCTGACTCAAAAATAAACTGTAAACAAGCAAAGTAATACAACAGTATGAAAGCTCAGACCATAATGGCTAAGGCAGAGGATTAGAGATCAAGTTTCTTAAATTGTATTTCTGCCTGTGTTGATATAGTTTATGAACTATGGCAGCATTTTTTTCTCTGAGCTGCAGTTTTCTGAAGGAAATGTGTCTTTTGCAAGTGTTTAGAAAAGCCAATTACCAAAGAAAGAGAAAAATACTGGCATGCAAAATCAAACTGAACTTTGCTAGAGGTACTTACATTAGAAACAGTCAATCATGCCAAACCTCTTTATTCTGTGGCCTCAGCAACAGAAACTTCAGCTCCTTTTTAAGTCTGTCTGACAGTGTTTTGGACTGCATAATCCATTATGGCATATATTATCCTTGTCCCAGGGAAATTTTGCAGGGATAACCTCCTCCAGCATAAGAGAAGAATACATCTACATGAAAACAATTACATTTGTATTGTTCTTTACAAAGATTTTCCCATTTATTTAAATTAGTCATATCAGTAGTTTTAAAGATTAAATTCCACATTAACAAAAAAAGTCCACTGAAGATGCCTGAGCTAATAAAATTATTTGGATTAAAGTTTTTTTGAAACAACCATCTGTTCTTCAGATATTTATATCTGTGTTACGTAATTGTATTAATAATTGCTGTATAGCCACTACATATAAATTGATGACAAAAATACATATTTGTAACATATACACCATTTTATGTCCAGAAAGAATTGGAATTTTTTTTACTGTTCATGCACCAAACTTAAAAAGACAGTGTATTCTTATGTCTGCCCCCTGCAAAAATTGAGGAACAGTTGATACTACCCATGGCATGGGACTTAGCTTTGGTTGAGAACTAACCAGAGCAGGTGCCATTATTCACCTTGATGTCATCACTCCTCTTGGGGGTTTACCTGTAATTCTGAGCTTTGAAACATTTCCTTTCTCAAACTCCTTGAGAATTATTACTAAAATACATCAAGAAATGCAACTGCTTTGCAAACTACACCATCACTCCACATCCTGACAAAACCTCCACAAAATGCTGCTAAATCAGTTTTCCATAAACATTTGCCTCAGTCTGGCCGCTTATATTCTGTAAATGTAACTGATTGTGCAAAGCATGGTGCAACGGAGAAAGAGGACAATTAGTGTTCCTCACTGATTGGTCACTTAGGTACATTTTAGGTTTAACTCTTCCATGCTGAAATCTTTATAACCAAATCCATAAGAGAATATCAGTATTGTCCGTGAGTACTGGAGCTCATCTTGTGCCATTTGTTCATGGTATTTCTGCTGTCCTATTAATTTGCCTGTTAAGGAGCATTGCCCAGTTCTGCAATGCAATGGTTAAACTTCTTCCTTCTATAGCTGCTTCTGTTAGGTCTATAAAGAATCTGCAGTAAAGAAATGTAGGAATTTTGAGAGGGAACATCAAAAACTATCATCGCAAAGAAAATCATACAAGGGTGCATACCTTGTCTGTCTTTCCCCAGTACTGTTCCTGATGAACTGTTTGCTACCATATTCTTCAGGTGATTCCACCTTTTGCATTAAAATTTTCTAATAAAATTTTCTTGCACTAACACGGTGCTATTCATATTCTAAAATCAATATTAGATTTTTTCAAGAAACTATGTTTCTTGAACACCTCCAGGGATGGTGACTCTACCACCTCCCTGGGTGGTCTTGTTCCAAGTCAATTTTCTGACAGAAATTTAGTACTCATTTCTGATATTCATCTCCCATTGAGTTACAAGTCAGTCACCGTGTGATGTACAGAAGACCTTCCCTTGCTGCAGATGTGAGCAGAAAAAACTTGCACCTGTCCAACTCACTCAAGTGAGCTGGGAGATGCCGCAGGGGATGCAAAAAGTGTGAAAAACTGAGAAAAGGGTGTTTAATTTTTTTTTGGGTAATATAATGAGATTAGAAAGGCACAGAACCCTACCTGTACATTTGCCCCATTGTGCTGGTTTTGGCTGGGGTAGAGTTAATTATCTAATTCTCTTCACATTGGCTGGTATGGGGCTGTGTACTGGATTAATGCTGAACACAGGGTTGATAATACAGAGATGTTTTTGTTATTGCTGAGCAGGGCTTACAGAGAGCCAAGGCTTTTTCTGCTTTTCATAGGGCCATGCTCTGTACGAGGGGCTGTTAGTGTGTGGGAGGAGATAAATCTGGGACAGGTAACCTCAAGTGACGAAAGGGATATTTTGTCTTCAACACATGAGTAACAGAAACGTTTCTGTATTATGTCATTGTGCTGTATATGTTCAGCACTAGATACACAGCCCCTTACCAGCCTCTGTGAAGAGAATTAACTCTTCCCCAAGCAAAACCGGCACACCCATCCAAATTATACTGGCAGTGAGACAGAAGAGCAATTAAGCTGGTGAAGGGTCTGGAGCACAAGTCCCCTGAGGGAGCTGGGGGTATTCAGCCAGGTGAGAAACAGGCTCAGGAGTGACTTTATCGCTCTCTACAACTCCCTGACAGGAGAGTGCAGCCAGGTGGGGCTCGGTCTCTTCTGCCTGGCAGCCTGCCACACAGTCTTAAACTGTGCCAGGGAAGGTTTAGGTTGGACATTAGGAAGAATTTCACAGAAAGGGTGAGTCAACATTGGAATAGACTGCTGGTGGAGTCACCGTCACTAGAAGTGTTTAAGGAAAGACTGGACGTGGCACTCAGTGCCACGGTGTAGTTGACAAGGTGGTCGGTCACAGGTTGGATTCGACGACCTCAGCGGTCTTTTCCAACCTAATTGATTCCGTGATCCCGTGACTGATCTCTGAACAGCCGAACCTTCTTTATAAAGGCTGCAGGGTAACACACGGAGCCATGCCGCGGTGCTGAGGGCTGGTGTGTAAGCTCAGGCCCCCGCGGCCCTGAGGCGCCGTTCCCGCATGGCGGACCCCGCACGTCGGAGCCTCTCCGCCTCCCGAGCGGCGCCGGCAGCGCCCGGGGCTCCCCCGCTCCGCCCGCGCCCTTCTGCCTTCTAACTCTTCGCAGGGTCTTGGTTCTTGGTTCCACTCTCCTTGCAGATGCTTAATCGCTCCTTCTAGCGCTTCAGAACCGCGTGCCCTCCGTATTGCATGAAAAGAGACACATTCCTTACTTAAAATTGCTTCTGGGGTACATCCGCGCAGCTGTGTTGCCGCAGAGTTTGGATTCGTGCGTGCAGATCCTATTCCTTCTTCACAGGAGTTGTAAAGTTACTTCTTATTTTGAAATTGCTTCCAGCAGCGCGGAGCTGTGTTACCGCAGACTTTGGGTTCGTGCAGTTGTCGCTTGAAACTGTCAATTCGATCTTGAAAAGTCTCCCTTTTAGTGCGTTAAGGTTGTAAAGCACGGTCCGGCACTCGCTATCTCAAAGGTCTTTGCCTCTGATTAGAGCAGCCCCAGATCCCGTCAGGCGAAAAACAAGCGCTCTGTGCCGGTCAGGACGTTGTTACGGCTCTTCGTTTTAAAAAAAAAAACACCAAAACTTGGTGATGCTCGATTCTTGGTATTCATTTCCCTTGGTACCATTTTCTGTATGAAATATTGATAATATATCTAGATATCAGTACACTGAGTATACTAAATACTAATATATAATTGAAACACAAGAAGTGCCAACTCAACATGAGGAAGAACTTCTTTATGTTGAGGGTAGCAGAGCACTGGAACAGCTGCCCAGGTCGTGAAGTCTTTCTGGAGACATTCAAAGCCCACCTGCCTGGACGCGTTCCTGTGTCACCTGCTCCAGGTGACCGTGTCTTGGCAGGGGGGTTGGACTGGATGATCTCCAGAGGTCCCTTCCAACCCTGGCAATTCTGAGAGTCTGTGATACTGATGTGCTGAGCCCTCATTTGCTCTGCTCTTGTCACAAATTCTTTTTTCTTTTTGTGCTTTCGTGTTGGAATTCTGTGCTTGGAATCATTGAGAATTCCATAATTGAGGCTGAATTGTCATTAGAGAGGTTATATGTGAACCTGTGCTTTTAGGCACTATGCGTAATATTAGTACTTCTATACAGCCATTGAGGATTTAGGTGCTTCAGGCCAACCTGATGTTATGCCTCCAAGAGCCAAAGGGGAAGGTGGCTTTTTTACAGGATATTTGTGCTTCAGGGACAGGAGTGTTGAAGAGTTTGGATTTTGGTTTTATGTTTTTATAGTTTGGGTTGAGAAATAGGAGGAAGAATAGAAAAAGAAGGAAAAAATGAAGTGGTTTCATACATTAGGACCAGTATCAGCTTTCTTAAAAGTATGCTTAAGCTTTTCCTATCTGGTGTCTAGATATTAAAGTTGAATTCTGGGCTAGAGAGGAGTAAATGTATATTTTTTGCTTAAAATAACTGCAGAGCATTGCCAATGAAAAGAATTTTAGCTCTGCTTTTCTGATACTGAGTGGCTGTAAGTCTGGCATGCTGAAGGCACAGCTCAATCAGTCAAAATGTTTTACTAAAGCAGTTGTTTTAGTAGTATGTTGTTAGTATGGAATTCAAAAATGAGATTCTAAAGGGATTTTTTGGAAACAAAAAGTACAGCAGTTGATCTTTCATATTCACAAATATTTCCATGGGTGTAAAATACAGTATTTTAGCAGCAGTTCTGTCTGTCCCATAAGGTAGCTGATGTAGGGGACCTTTGCGATATGACTTGAACAGCACATTTAAGAAGAAATTCAACTTGCACTTTCAGAAGTTAGTTTCATTTTGTTAAAAAGTAAAACCAATGGAAAATGTCTGCAGTTCAATATCTTGATAATATACACAGTTGGCATTTTCAGTCTGAGTAGTTCTGTGATCACTCAGAATGTTTTGTGAAACCCAGGTGCTTCCAGTCTTGTGCTGTGCTGTTTGTGTCTTTGTATAAAAATCTGAAGTATTTAAAACGTCTGGTTTTAGTGTTTCTTCTGGTGACACTGTTTGAAAACATTTCAGGATGAAAATGCATTTAGATTTTTGCCTTTTCAGTGACAGGACAATTTTGCAGTGAAAAAAGAAAAGATTGAGGAAATGAACTCTACAGCTATTAATGGTTGGTAGCATTTGTTTTTGTCCTGGCTAACGGAAGTATGTGAAAAGTGTTTAAGCAAACACTGTTAAAGATTATCCTTGTCTTTCCTTGGCTGTGAAACAGCTGATCCAGTCATTGTGGTGTTTCATTTTTAGTGCTTTAGTAATGAGTCCATAAATTCATACAAGGAAAAACTTCCATTTTAAGCAAGTTTTTCAATACCTTTTGACCCATCAGATCCCTTACGTCTTCCAGAAAAGCAGTCCTGTGACCTACTTCTTGTGTGCTGTTTCTGTACACTGAAACGGGCATTTTCAGGAAGTTTGACATCAAGAAATTTAAATGCAAATGCTTGACTGCCTACAATAAGCTGATTTGGTCTAGATATTTTTAAAGCTATTTTTAACAGTTCTACAGCAGACAGAGCAATTGTGTCGTGGCTGGGCCGGTTACCACCGTCACAGCATGAAGGACGTGTGGTTTGACCTCGCCTTCAGTCTCACAAGCAGCTAGGTCAATGCAACAGACCCTACTGCTTGCGAAAAGGAAGAGGCCTTGCTGCCTTCCCCTTCCTCATCCCCCTTCCCACGTAGTTCCTCTGGTCCTTGTCAAGCTGTTTCATGGAAGGGTTCGATTTGTGAAGCCCGCACAAAGCTCTCCGCTTCTCTTTCAGGATTAATCTTTTGCCAAATTGGCGAGGTGAATTGCCTCACGGTGGAAGCATCCGGCCACTAAAGCTAGGGCAAGGTGAGCAGCAGGACTTCTTGGGAGCCAGTGCTGGAGAGGAGCCAGATGTCTCCAGTTTGGTGTTAGATCCACAAAACACAGGCTGTTGTAACTGCACGTTTCCCTGAGCAGTAACAGGACTATGAGGCACTGAAAGCTTTCCCATTTCAACTGACATTTCTGGAGTTGTGCTTTGCTGTTAATAAAGGTGTGCGTGTGCTGGAAAATGTTCTCTGGGCGTTCTTGATTTACTGTACAGCTAGGATTTTTTTTTCTTCTGTTTTTTAAGGTGAAGCAGACTTTCCCATTAAGAGATTCAGTTTAGCATAGGTCCTGAGTATTGGAAGAATTATATCTGTCTTTCTCATGGTGGTTGTGTTGTGCGATTGGATTGAATTTAAAGTATTCAAAAAACAGTAAAGTAATTCATGCTTCTCACAGAAAAGTAGGAGACATTCCTAATATTCTTAGAAAGTATTGATTTTGTTCTGGTATTTATAGCTGTAGGTCTCATTGTTTTCCTGAATCTAGATGCCGATATTAAATAGAAGTAAAACACTGAGCTTTTGGTATTAACTGTGGAAAAATTGAGGTATTATGGTCATTCACAAAGTTGTCCAAAATATTATATAATCTTGATATTTAAACTGAGAAAGTTAATTCAAAAATTATTTTAAATGAGAGAAAACAAGATTTTTTTTTTTTTGAGATGAAAACTGATGAGATTAGCATTTATTTCTACTACCTCCTTTAGCTTTAGGCTTTTCCAATTACCATTTGAGTGATTTAGATGTTACCATTTGAGTGTCTGAGAGCATTAGATTGTGTACTGCTGGCCCTTCTTTCTCCTAATTTCCAAGCATGTTAATATATCGCTTTTTACCGCATAAAGGGACATAAACATTGTCTACCTGGATATGTTCAAACACATTGCCATCTTGTTTGCATACAATGATGTCTGTGTCTTCCTATAATGTTTCCAGGTAATTCGGCTGGGGGCCACCCCTGTAAGCCTGAGCTTGCTCTCTGTCCAGGTTTATGCTGCTTCTTCAGAGAAGACTTCCAAAAAGGAGTTGCTGAAAATTGAGGAGGTAAGTGTGGTTGGAGTCTTAGTGCTCTTCTGTCTAAATAATCCTGAAAACATTGTGTTTCGATGTATGAAAGCATTTAGGTACATCTTGTCACCTTTTGTATTCATGCCTTTAAATTTGCTTCTCAGTTTTCCACCACAGAGACATCTATATTGTTTTGCTTTTACCTGGGCATTGCATTTGATGTTCTTCATTTGATAGTGCCAGGCTTGCTTGTGTGTAAGATCTTTTTCCTACATTAAAGCCTCCTATTCTTCATTCAGAAATTAGATTTTCATGTTTGTTAGATTTACTTATGGTTGTATTTCAAATCCCCAGGAATATTTTCTTTGCTTTTTATCCAGATAATTCCACTTACTTTTTACTGTAAGTACTGTTGATAAATTCTAATAAAAATTCACTTATGTTCTCCATTAAAACAGCAAATCATAATGTTTTATTTCTAAAAGTATTTTCTTTTTTATGATCAAAATTCTTTTCTGGCAATACTTTAAATCCACCATAGTAGCCTACAGAATGTTATCAGTTTTCCTTTCTTCACAGTATTCGGACCTAAACAACAACAAATACAATAAATAGTGGTAATAAATACCTGTTATGTTTTCATTTCTTTAAGATATTACAAATGTCTCAGTTATAAGTAGAGCCTTAAAGTACTCTGGCAAACTGTAGGCTCACCAGCATTGTTGCACAGGCTTTTAAAAATCTCCAATACTAAAAAAAATTAAAAGAAGTAATTCATAACTAAATCTAGCTTTATGTGCATGACAGCATGCAGTTGTTTAAAAATTTTGAGTATTTCAACCCAAGCTGAAGTGTTGTACCATAAGCACTGGAGCTAAATGAGACTGGTGTTTGTGCATACTTAGGTGTTAGGCTGGGCAGTTCCCATGTACAGAGTGAGAGGAGCTGGAGTTGCAGTGGGCTCCAGACCCTCCCTGGCCTGGGAGCCTCAGCCTGGGCCATCGCGTGCCCAGCCTCCACCAGCCTGAGTCAGTCCTCAGGCAGCAGCGTGGAGTTCATGTGAGCTGAGTAATGGGCTTGCCATCAACTCCAGCACAGCAGAATGTGCAAGCCATGGAGTTTTGGCTGCCTTTCTTGCCATTCACAGGGTGTTTGGATCTCTACTGTGTCAGCTGTCTAGTTTCATAAAATACATGGGAATTTCCTTATCTCCAAGGCTTCTGTTCTTGTGCCAGCCATTGCTGTTAGGTTGTCCAGCAGGATCAAAGTTCGGCTTGTTCCTGTGATTGCCAGGGGTGACCAGGTTTCCCAGGGAAGCGAGGCTGAAAATCCTTATCTTTCAAAGTATTACGGGAAATCCAGCTCAAGTTACCAAATTATTGGATAAATTTGATGTAATTTTATATTATGTTATGGTTAACATCTTTTTTGTTTATGACAGAGAGACGGTCCTTTTCCAGCTGATCGTGATAACAGAGCTAGCAACATTTTAATGCATCAAAACTTGCAATCATCAGTTTCTAATAAACTACTCAATGGAGTATAAATATGATGTAAAACATAAGCTCTTTATACTAAACATCTGTGTAGTATATAAACTACTAGAAATTTTAATAGGTTTTGCTTTTATCTAAGTACAAACTTAGGCCTTTTTGTTTTTGATGGAATACAGTTTCAAATATGCTTAGGTAGTTGTAGTAAATGTTGTGATTCTAAACCCTAAACAGGGTGGTTTAGCATTTATTATGTGAAGATGCCCATTGCTTGTTACAGTTCCTCTTTGCTCAGTGCCAGGGTTCCATTAATGCTGCCAGTTGCTGATGTGGTTAATGACCAGAGGTTGGGATGTTGTACCATTTTCCTGCTCAGTAACAAACAGGCACATTTGTATTGGATGTTTCCTTTGCTAGAAGCTGCTTAGGCTCTTTAATGATGGCCTGTGCAAATATAGAAAATGATTGATTGTGATTTCTAGTACATTCAGTATGTTAACTGGGAACCAGAAGTGCTGATTAAGGTGAGAAACATTTTTCACAATTATGTTGTGTGTTCTTATTAAACTAGTTTAATATTAATTTATAACTTGTGACTTGGATCATATAGCAGCTATGAATGAATTGTATAGCAGTTAGAAGTCATCTTCATCATAATTATGTGCTGTATAATTAAACTTTGCTCATAATGGTTGTCTCAGAGCTGTGTGAATTTTTATTATGCATTGTTTATGTAGTAAGCACAGAGTTAGGTGTTCTCTGCTTAGACTGTTCGTGCCCTGAACACCTACTTGCACAATTGCACCTTTGTTTTTAACATCTTGTTTGCTAATATTCACAGCTGTCACTGTACTCCTCCCCAGCTCGTGAGACTAAATATGTGGAGAATCCCAAAACTGACTTGGAAGAGGGGGTTTCCCGTTTACGGCATGTTATGGAGCCATATACAGCCTGGTGTCAGGTATAATGGTTTGTATTGCAGCAGGTGGTGGTTCAAGGATATAGCCCCAGCTGGGGTTGTGGTTTGTTTTATCTGAGCTGGAATTAACAGGCGGCAGCAAAGTAAAAGTTGATAGCTGTACAAGCATTTTCCAAAAATGTGGCATCACTAAAGGTTTTCTGCATTGCTTAAAATTTTTGACAATTCAGGTCATAATGTTTACCCCTTTCTCACACAGAACCAGTTGTGTCATTATACTAATTTGCTGAACTAACCCTGGATTTAGGGTTTCTCCTTCCAAAACAATTAAAATTAACTAAAGCATAGAATTGTTTTCTGAAGTGTACTTTAGGCTTAAATATACCTACAGATACCTGGATTTGGTACTGTTCTGTAGCTGAGGAAGATAGGTATTTGCAGTTTTCATGCTCAAGGAGGCCTTAAATTATCAAGAAGTGTGTTTTGGAGCAGCAAAACCAAGTTGCCCTTGCTGCAACTGTGATAAAATACAACTTAGCAAAAAATAAATCAGTATTTGCTGAACTGGAATGTTGAGGGAAGGAATGCAGCTCTCTGGAAGAAAGACAATCCCAGGCCACTAAGTAGTGGTAAACCCAATCTCCAGACCTTTCCCCCAAAACTTTCTGATATCTATTTTATTAGGTAGTACGTTTAGAGTAAATAGTCATTAAATACAAAAATAGGCTCTGGAGCAGAGAGAAAAAACAAGATTTTTGTAATCTAGGCCTAAATTGTTGGTATCAGATTGCAAAGCCCCAGGATAGCTTTCTTGCTTTTTCCTGCCCAGGAAATGTTGAGGCTTTTGAAGTGAAGGCATCCTTGCTCTGTGGTTGTCTCTTGGAAACTGTAGGCGATTCTCTGCTTTGCCCTCTGCCTGTTGTGAATCCCCTTAAGCTGCTAGCTGTTTGCCCAGCTCTCCATTGAAAGCCAAGCTGTTTGGATCAGAGTGTCCTTTCTGCCTGGAAGTTCTATGTGATGCTACCTTTAACAGGACTGAAACATTTTTCCAGAGTTACTCAGTCTGGTGTTTCTGAAGTGCCATCAGCAGGAGCACTGGCTGCAGCTTGGAAGGGAAAGGGGGGTTTTCCACAGTGTCGTCGGAGCTCTGGCCTCCTGAACACATGTGTGTTTTTTGGTTGCCTGTGGTAACCCTAACTGGGGAGTGAGATTGGAGAGGAGGTTAGCCTTTAACCCTGCTTGATGTCTCACTGACCTGTTGTCACCCTATTTGTTTTATTTTTTTTTTTTTTTTTGTCTGTCTGGTGATCATTGACATAAGATGTGCTCTTCTGCTCACACACAACAAGCCATTTCCTGGCAGTGGTTTACTGACTCATTTTATGAAGCAGGCATGTAACCTTTATGGGTTTGGGGCAATCTTGCTTAACTGTAGTCAGAGGCAGCTTTGGTTTTATACCCCCTGCCCATCTCTGCTATGTTGAAGAAAATAATATTTAGGTGTCTCAGTTGTCTTTAAAATCAAAGAGATAATCAGAATGAAATAGGTTTGTATATCCATTTTACTTTTCCAAAATCACTTAACTGTAGTGGAAATGCAGCTCAAAACTCAGATGTAGAAATGAGCCAGTTATATTTCAGTTGTGGCAGAAGATCAGACTTAGTCTCTGGGGTCTTCAGAGCAGGTTCTTCTTAAATTAGCTTTCAGTAAGAGCAACATGCATTTAAAGTTATGTTGTGTGTCACATGCTAACACTTTTTTATTTTCATGAGAGATAGATTTCTAAAGTTCTAAAGCTATACCCATACAGTATCCTAAATAAATGCTTTCACTTCTGCACAGATGCAGCTCAGGTAGAACTGCAAGACTATTCTCTGCTTTAGCTTTGGGTGTATATGTTTATGAATTTTCCCCCTAATTTATAGACAGCTTTACATCATCTCTCTGAAGCATTAATAGTGTAAATAACAATTATCAGGGTTCTTTTTATTGAGGTTTTTTTTTCTATTTTGATAAAAAGGCAATCTGCATTTTTTTACTTCCTGTATATTCTCAGTCTGAAAAAAATCTAGAACTGTTCTGTGGAGTTGATGCAGTGTCACTGATTTACTTTGGACATCTATGGATATCTAATTTTCCAAGTCACTTCAAAATGTAGTCTTGTTAGCCTAAGACAGTCTCCTGGGAAATGGAATTTATCACCTTGCAGAATGAGTCACATACCTCTGCAAAGTGTGAGGAAGGAGTTTGTTGCAGTATTGTACTTCTTTGCATCACCTCAAGTGTTTTTGCAGTACCTGCATACACTGAGAAACCCAAGATAATTCTGAATTTCAGTTGCCTGATTTCAATAAAATATTGAGATTGATGTTTGTGTTTCAAAGTATTATCTGTATTTGTCCAAAGACCACTTTGAGAAAAATCTGTAAATGTAACATTGAGCAAGCATAGCCCTGTAAGTAAAGGGTGGAAGTGGGAATTAAAGTAAGTTATTTTAGGGATCCATCACTTTTTTCTTTCTTGTTTTTGGTTTTTTATTTTCTCCTTTCTTTGTCAGGTCCATTACAGTCTATTAGTCAATATTTTACTTACTTGATATCTATTTACCCTTGTTCTCTTTTTTTTTTTTTTTTTTTTAGGATCTTTATGCCAAAGCTATGCCCAAGTTAGAAAAAGCTGTTGAGCATGGTAGAGGTAAATCAGCTTAGTTTTCTTAATTAGCAGTTTAAAATGCAGGACTGTACTATATTTTCAGTTTAAAGGGAATTCCATTAAGCGTCATTGTATGTATAATTTCTAATGCATTTAAGACTATTTCTGCTGTGTATCTGTTTGAATTTCCTTTGTGGGTCACTTATGACACTACATTTCTAAACAATTAAAATCTGAGACCAGCATTTATGTTTCTCAATGTCACTAAAAATTAGTTATGAAGGGGGAGAAGGGGAAAAATGCTCACAATTTATTCCCAGCTGGCAATATTTGCATGGCCTAGCTTAGTTGCTGAAACCTCCTGTAAAGTTTATTACTTGTTTTGAGCATTAGGTGTTTTGTTTGTAACGTTTAGCTGTGTCATTTTGCTTTGTGTCTATGGATCTCCTAAGAATTTTGAATTAATCCAAAATAATTTAAATTTGTTTTCATTTTTGTGAGCATACTTTCATACTGAGGCTTACCAGGACTGAGTGTGGATTCTGTGTAGAGCTCATTTCAGATACTGCACCTCTTTTTTTTTTTTAAACTTAACGGTTTCAGTCTTTTGAACTTGTTAGCATGGAAGAATTTGCATAGTTTTCCATTCCCCCACCAGACTCCCGTCATAGAGTAAACTTTGCTTCTGCTGTGTCTTTCCATTCTTCTGTGATTTGCTTTTTTGTACAGTATTTTACTGAAACTAGTTTTTGTTAATGTGTAACTGTAAAATTCCATTTTGCGAAGGTTTTTATCACTAACTTGCAAAAGATATGATTGAGATGCAAAAGAGCAAAACAAAACAGATGGCCCAGGAGCAAAGGCAAAGCTCCTATGAAAGTTGGTGAATACAATACAATATTCAGTTTCATTCATGTGTCACTAGAGAAGATCTCAAAGGCTTTGAATTTTTTGCCAGCGTATCTAAAATGCGCATGATAGTTAAATGTGTTTTGATAACTCTTTGTGTTTTGTAACAATTGCCAGCGAGTATTGACGATTCCTTATCACAAAAACACTTTCACATTACATTAAAGCACTTTGTTCTGGCATCTTTTCAGAGGGCTATGAATTTCTCCAAAAACCCCCTGCTGGATTTTATCCAAGACTTGGTGTTATAAGTTTTGCTGGAATTATTGGACTGTTTCTTGCTAGAGGTAAGTGGGAACCATTTGAACCTGGTTATGTTATAATTTTGAATAAGTAATTTTTTTGTGGGTTTTAGGGTACTGATTTTTAATTGTGACAAGGAGATCTGAATTAATTGTACAAGCATGTTTCTACACTGTTCCTCCAGTTATAAAGAAACTTCAGGGAAAATATGTTTAATAATCAACAGTTATTTTTTTATCGTTGCTGTATTTGTTACTAAAATCTAGTCTTCCATATTTCCCAGAAGTATCTTAGTAGAGCAGAAATGGCAAAGGACTGGTTTGGTATCTTTTAGCCTAAAAATATTTTTGATTATTGAAGTTCTTGATCACTTAAGTTACTGTAAAAAACAACAGAGGAATGAATTATGGTAAAATACAGATGTTCCTGAACTATGTATCCAATTAGGTATATATATGAGTTTTTTCAAAGTATTGTGTGTCCACATGCAGAGCTGCTGCAGATGGTGATTCAGCAAATAGACTTGTGAACTCTGGATGTATTATAAGTACCTGCACATTTTGTACTATGAAAAACGACACAGTTAATTTCATCACACTTACTGAAGAAATGTTCATACTTTCGTAAAAAGAAGCATTAGTCTAAGAAATGTTAAGTGTGAAGAAGTATTTTTTGCTTAAGTTGAGATATTCTTAATGCCGTGAAATGTAGGTAACAGAACTTTAAAGTTTAGAATATAAATACCAGTAAGGACATGGTTTGGACAAAAAATAAACCTTGATGGGGCCTGAAGGAGTTGAACTGGAAGTGTGTGCTTGGCTGTGTAGAAATTAGAAGTGCACCTCAGAATATTTAATTTTCCAGTGAAGCTGGTGAAAGCAGTACTTCACTTTTTCCTAGTGTACTTTTTTTAATGAAATCAAGGTAACTTCCCTGTTTGAAGTTCTTTTTCTTCAGATTCCCATTTCTCAAGTAGTGTGATCACAAATGAGATCAGCTTCCATCATTTATGACTCTAGCAAAGTGAGGGGAGAAGGGGAAGTGCAATCTTGGGACTGGAATTGAAAGATTAGAGGATCCTAAGTTTAATAAAAAGGAAAATACCTCATGCTAAAAATGTTAAATTTGTGAATCTTTTAGGATGGGAACCATAATTTTAAAACTTTTTTTTTTTTTTTCTGGTAGTAGTTAAAAATATGACTCTTATTTACAGAAAATATTCAAACCATAAAAAGAAGTGCCCCTTAATTTTGATGCTACCATAAGTCCTCTTTATTTTATTCCTCCTCCTTTGGTCTTTGTCTTGGTCTCTGTGTGCCCTCTTGGAAGGTACAAATAAAATCCTTCAGGTCTAATGATAACACTTGAATATGCACAGCTGCTCACTAAGTAGAGAATATGGTATTCTGAGTTTAATCATGTGAATATTGTGCAGTCATTCAGCTTGGTTTAAAATGTAAATTAGAGATAATTAGTTTTAACTCATGTTGCAGATGGAGTGATGCACTTGACTTGTAAGAGAGCAGCAGCAATGTGTTTATTGATATAAAGCAATGATTTGAAAGGATTTGATGGCAAGGTACACTTGATCAGTTACTGCATAGAGGACAGGGTCAGACAGACCTGTCTGGGGAGGATCCTACTCTCCAGTCACAGGATTCAGAGACAACCTCCTTCCTATCTAGACTCCTACTCAGAGGAGCCTAGATGTGTCCAATCCTAGGCCCAAACTTGGTCAGCAGTTTATGTCCAAAGGATTTAATGTGCACAGTTAATCTAAGGTATGATCTTAGTGAAGCTTACAAAGTTTAACAAACTATTAGGGGGCCCCTGCTAATCAGAGAGATTATGTTTCTTAAGAAACTGGTGGGATGGAAGAGAAAATATGCTAAAATGTATTTAAGAAAATTGTTTATAAATAAAATATTAGGGCCATTCAGCTGACTTGGTTAACATACACTCTAATGTTTGTGGTTTTTGATTTTTTGTTACAAAACAGGCTCAAAAATAAAGAAATTGGTGTATCCTGTAGCTCTGATGGGTATTGGTACCTCCATGTATTACCCTCAGCAGGCGGCTGCTATTGCAAAGGTCAGTGATGATACCTTTCTTTGGAGAAATGTCTTTTACTTTGATTGTTGCATCCTAGCTTCACATTAACTGGTTATCTGTGTTTTAAAGCCACATCAGTGGCAATTAACAAAATTATGGTTATTTTATCAAAGCAGATGCGGTCTGGGCTGGAAGATAATCAGATGTGTTCCTTTTATTGACATTTTTTTTCTAACATCTGGAGTAGTGTCTTCAGTTACACAAACATAATTTTCTTTCAGAATCTCTAAACTCATGTAATGGTAAATTAACATAAATATGGTGAGTACAGTTTGTGTGTTTACGTACCATACTAAGGAAACATGAAATACCTTGTGAGTAAATGAAAGCAGTATTTGAAAGAAGAAAAAAGAGTTTATATAGACAAGTCATCATAACATTTTGAGATAAATGTTATTACATTTTCTGCTTTTTTTTAGTTTGGGGCTTTAAGAAAGCATGCATATTCTGGAACTGGTTAAGAATTCTGCTGCAAACTTACTGGATACCTTCCCTATTTATGGGGAAGTTTGTTTCAGGCACACAAGAAGCGTGTTAACTTACAGTTGCTTAAATGAGTTTCCTGTGAGAGAAAGAACTGAAGGGACCATGGAATTGCTTACCACCTTTACTGATGTTAGATCATGTGCCTTGCTGTCCACACTTAGTGGTACTGGCAGATTCTTAGTTCTCCACCACACTGTGTTTCAAATCCAGCTTTTAACCACTCAGTGCGCATACTCACATCTTTCATGAAATTCTTTATATTTCAGCCTTTGGTAAATTTGCTATCTAACTACTGGCCACTTATGAATGACCCTAAGATGTCAGAATGGTAATATGATATTCTCAAGAACATGGAATGTTCTTTGAAAACTGAAAGGTCATTGACTTAGGGAAAGTGAAAACTGCTGAGCTTGAACTCTGCCAGCATGGTGGTATTCTGATTTTTGATGGAATCTTTTTTTACCGCTTCCAGGATTCAGATGCTCTAAATACAGATAATTCTGTTGATTTATTCTCAGAGGGTGAAAATTATGCAAGTGGCAGGAAAAAAGCCCATAAAAATTTAAGAAGCTTAGACATTTCTGTTGGAAACTGTGTATTAAAATTCTACTTGCCTTCTGAACAGTGAAGTGGGAAGGGATTGAACGCCATTCAAACTGATGTTACTGTTTTTAAAGAAGCTCAGTTCAGGCTTAACTATAGATTTGGTGTTAACAGCTTCACAATACTTTGTTTATTTTATGAGAACTTTGAAGTGCATGATTGCTCTTTGATTAATTCACAGTTCTTACTTTGACTGTAATGAAAAATCTGACAGGAGATTGGAATGGGTTTAGCTTTGTTGATTTGGTGAGGACAGTAGACGTATGAATTTGGAAACTTCTGTGGGGAGAGTAATATCCTAGATACTGTTTTGGTTCCTCTAATCTTATCTTGTTACTTTCTTTTCTTAAAAAAGCAAAGTTTTAAGCATATCATATCTTACCATCCATAATTTTTAGGCTTTAATCTGAAATTAGAAACACTTTCTCTCTATTAATTATTTTTAAATGTTTCATAAGCCTTTCAAAAAGTGTAGACCTAGAAAGGAATGCCTGCAGTACAAAGCTCACTTGCCAAGTTAATGAAACAATATAGAAAATACTCTGGAACATAAATTTAAATTACTTTATTTTTATATTATTATATATTATATATTAAATATTATTATTATTATTATTTTTATTTTTCTTCCACACTTAAGTACTTCATCACTGCTTTTTCTTTTATAGTTCTATAATTCCCTTCACTGGGTGTTATGTTGGTTTTGGTTTTTTTAATTTGGGGAGGGGAGGTTTGTTTCTGTCTCACTTGTATTTAAGACTTTACAATGGAGAGTTGGAAATAAACACAGCAGAATTTGTGATTGTATTTGTAGTTGAGGTCCAACACTTTATTAGTCTGGAAGTAAAAAATCTTATTTCATTAAAATGTATGAATTCCTAAGTGAAGTTGTAGCAACAGAGTTCATCATTGATAGTTTTCAGACAAAAATGATCTAACTGAAGATGGAAGACATTTATTGACTATTGTTTTTTTCCTTGGTTTAGTAAAATGATCTAATAAATAAGAGATCACAAATTCTAATAAATCACAAATTTGTAAGGGATTTATTTTCTCACTGCCAGTATTACTATATTTTTAATAACTTTCAACAGAAGGTCAGACTGTATATGTAGTAGGGGAATTGAATTTAATGCTAAAGCTTCTTTTATTCTGGTGGAACCCTACTTAGTGTTTGGAAATGGTATTGCTTTCCAGCTAATCATAATATACTCAAAATACTTTACATTTACTGTGGCTCATCTTCTATCTGGAAAGAACTTTCCATTATGTAGTTATTTAAATCACACTAGCATTAGAATTCAATTTTGTCCATTGTTATTAGAACCTTTCAAATTTACTGAAATACTGTGTGTTATGCTTTCACTCTTCTTGAAAGAAAAAAAGCTTCCTGATGTGCCAGTTTTGTTGGTTTGACAGAAAATCACATTACTTGTCCCTTGCTCAGTTCAGTCTGTAAGGCATAAACAGCTGTGCTGGCACAGGATTTCAGGAGCTGTTTTGTTGGAAAGCAGGAGTCAGGGTCACTTGATCCATGTTCACTGATGAATGCTCGTGAAATGGCACTGACTGCTTTGTTAATAGTGTAAATATACAAAAACCAGTGGATTCTCAGTTTAGTTTCTAGAACGTAGATGAAGAATTGCTAATTAATATTCTGTATGTGTGTAATTCTGTGTAACATCCAGTATAGTCAGTAATGTGTGCTCATGGTGCTGTGTGGCACATTAGGCCTTGGAGACCCTGGGTGCTACCCCAGTAGTGCCCAGTATGGGTGTTGGTGGCCCATAGTCACCTCAAACTTTCAGAATCCCTGTTGAGAGCCACTCAATCTGACTTTTAAACTTGTTAGTTCAAACTTTAGCATACAAACCTGCTTACAGTGTATTCAACAGTGATCGTATTTTAGCATGTTCACCTTGTAGCTTGCACTTCCAGTCTGCCTAGAACTGTATTTTTCAGCTGTGAAAGTGTCTGTGGGTCCTGGCTCTTGGGAAGTTTGTGCTCTGGTGAAACATTGGTTTTGGCAGACTGAGCTGTCTGGGTTGCTGTACCTTGTGATGTAGCCACTTAGTCCAGCGACATGAATGACCAGTTTCTCTTGTAATGCAATTCATAGATCACTTGGTCATATGAATCCTATAATAAGAATATTTTTAAGTTTGTACTGTTAGGCATTTACTGTGGTTTTAAATATTTTAATGGAGTATTTTTAAGCAGAAACAAAAAAACAGCTTAAGGAAAGTAGTTTTTTCTCATGTGGATAGCTGTGTCTTCAGTAATATTACAGACAAAACCAGCATTTTGTTTATTGTGATTATTTTTCAGTCCTTGTAGGTTCATACTGTTTGCACAAGGGACCACCATCTTCTCAGATGAGCTAGCTGGTTTGTTGAAGTGCTAGAGAATGAACACTTCTGATACTGAAAAACAAAATAACTGTCTATACTTGTAATATTTAAATTGTGCAGTTTTGGAGATTTAACTGGTTCACTTGATTTGCTTTTTTCTGATGATGCTTATCAGTTTCAGCTATAGAGAAAACAGAGTGCATCCAACAGACTTGTTTAAACCAAAGCAATTGGTCAGATATGGTGACAAAAAAGATACTTTGTATTTTAGCCTACATTTTGGATTTAGTTGTGACGTGGAAGTGTAGTTTCTGATTTGTGTTTGTTTTCTTTTAATTCTAGTTATACAATAGCCTCTTTTTTAAGGTAGGAAGCACATGGTATCTGCCCAGAAGCACATCCTTGTACCATTGTGTAGTAACTGGTGTAATCAGTCTTGCTGATTACAGATCAGACAAACAAGGGGAAGTGGCTCTTCACACCATGTGTACCCCACAGTGGAACCACTTGGCACAGGGATGCTAAAAATTTGTACTTCCCCTTGAACCCCATGCCAAAAATTCATAGAAGGGAAATTCTTTGGGCCTCTTTGCATTCATAAAAATCATGGCTCAGGAAATCTCTGAACAGTGAATTGATGGAGACTGGAAGAGACTTAGAGATGTAGTTCAGAAACTTTTTCAGAAACACCAGAAAACTGTTTTAGGAACATTTATGCTTGCCCTGTTCTCAGAGTTTGCATTTTGTGGCTTTCCCTGCTATTGAAGATAGGGAAATACCTTTTTAATTCTTGATTTCATAAGTTTTTTTAGTTTAATAGCTGTTTAGTCGGACAAATTGTCCTTTTTGGTGTTCATCATGCAGAAACAGATAGTGATAATGAAAGTCAGTATAGACCTGAGCCTGTCTGTAAAAACCTAACACTCTTTAATTTTAAAGGGTGCTATGGATATTACAATTACATGTCACATAAGGGACAGGGGATGCTGTTTTATTAGACTTAGGGCCTTTTCCTGTCATAAAATAGCTGTTGGTGAAATATAGCAAGTACAGTCTTTCCTAGCTGTGTTGCATTTTGGGAGTTGACAGTTGGTTATTCATTACATTCATCTATCAGCAAGTTCTAAAAAACACATAGGAAGAAAATCTAAAATTGCAGAATAGTGACAACCCTAAGTGGGTTGTCAAAATATAAATAGGTATGGTCAAATTAAGAAATACTTTGCATATGTTAATTATGTTGAATGTCAAATACTAAGAAAACCAGGATTGTTTCCACACAGTGTCATTCCACTTCTGTTTGTACAGATGTATATTCAGGTAGTCTTCAGACAGCTTTTTAGCACATTATTTTTTCTTACTTCTCATGTGACATTATTTTCCAAAATGTCTATTAATGCTGTACATTGTGAGCTTGAACAGGAAGAGTTAAACATCTCGTTTTTCCACTTGAATAAGTAGGAAGGCAATATTCCCCAGGTTATTGAGTTCATGCTTTCTAAAAACTTATGTTTCAAAGGTTGCTGGCACACAGCTGTATGACTGGAGTCTTCAAGGATATATTGCTGTAGAAGCTCTTTGGAAGGATAATCCTAAGAAGAAGAAATCAGGGGAAAAAGATGATAAGGTAAGAACTCTGAGGAAATTGATTTCTTAATTTACCACTGCCTTTTCAGACAAAAATAATTATGAACAACTGTGGTTTTGTTCAACAATTTGCAATTTGGCCTTTATTTCTGAAAAGAAATCCTTCATTCTCTCTTTCTAAGCTGTGGAAAAGCATTAGGCTTACTTCCAGATGAACTTTCAGAAATGCTGCTTGGAAGTTTTGTTTGGTATAATCTGATACAGATAAGCAAACAGTTCTAGTAAATATATGTAGATGGCTTAGTGTGAGAGACTGGAGAAGCAAGCTGATTAAATGTGTTCCAGGGAAAGCCTGGAAAGTAAGGTTTTTAGGGGTTTTTTTTAGCTGCTGCTTAAAGAAATAAAAGTTCAAGTGTGTAACATAAAGCTTATGTGGTTTTAAATTCATTTCTAAACTCACTGTGACTGGGAGAGAGGTGTTTTGGAGACAAAATTGCACTTGGATAGACTTTGGGGATGGGACCAAGTTCCCTTGGTAGGGCTGGGTGTAGGACTAGTTCCAGACAAGCTGGGCTGGAGAAATGTTCATGTCCTGGCAGTTGCTGCATCTTCTGAGAGTGAAGACTTTCATCAGTGGACACTCATCCTGTATTGGCCCAATACACTTAAGTAAATGAACTTGAATAAACAAAGGTTAGTTAATTGCTCTCTACCTTCCTTAAAACCTAGCCTGTCAAAAAGAAACTCAAAAAAAGAGGCAATATTAAAATATTTCAGAAAGACAAACTGACAACATTAATAAAAAATAGCTGAAGTTTTTCTTTTGTTGTATCTCAGGCTTTCAAAAGGGAGCACGTGGTAGTTATTGGAAGGCAAAAACTTTCAACACTTCCATCTTACTATAAGGCTTATTCAAACACTTGCTACCTCAGCAGAAAAAGAAACAGCATGCAGAATTACAGAGACCACTAAGTAAACACTTACTTCTTTCTCTTCCTCCTTGCAGAATCTTTAAATCACACCCCTTAGTTGCCAAAACATGTTACTTGCACAGAGGAGCAAAATGCCCATTGATGGGTGTTCTTCAAAAGTTCATCTCATTGTTCAGATACTGTCAGCGTGAACTGTTGCTGGGTAACTTGGTGGATTAGACAAGGTACAGAAACCCTGTTACTACAGTGAAGAAACAGTATTTGATCTCTTGATGAAATTGCCTTCATTGCCCATGTTCATTGATCTCTTACCACTGAGGCAAGCAGCCTTCCTTTGTCCTCTGAAGTTCCTAAAGAGGGTCTTGTTTCCCTGCTGGGCAGAGAAGCTGAACAGCAGCTGTAAAAAGTCACGTGCTTTTGTCTAGAGTGAGGACTGAGAAGTGATTCTAATGGAGAAAGTTTGCTCTGAAGCTTCCTTTGGCCTGGATTGGTGAAACCATACAAAATACATAATTGAGAATTCTAGTGGGTAGAAATGGGTTTGTTTTAGGTTTGTTTCATATGGAAATAATCATACAGATTATTAGTGCAACCAAATTAGTATCAGCTTTTCAAGCAGAACAATTTCTGTTTAAGTTCTATTTTTTATTGGAGGCTTTTACTCATATAGAAGTGTCATGGAAGAAAATGCTTTTAACTATCATATACTGAAATTGGCAAAGCATTCTAGGATAGATTCTGTGACTCCTGTCTTAATTTGACAACCTTGTGAGAGAATTTGGTTGCTTTTGTATACATATTTCTTATTGTTGTTCTAGGCAGCTAGATTCCTGAACTAGTGAAGACAGGTCTAAATGTTACTCTTGAATTGTTTTTGCAGCAGATGTAACCCATTTCATGAAACTGTGCCAGAGCAAAAGATGTTATTTTTGTTTTTGTGACATTTACTCCAGCATTTTCCTGTTGCTACACAAAGGATTCTTGCAAATAGTCAAACAATATATGGGTGGCTCTTCTTGGCTTCTGTTAATTTGTTACGTTGCTCATAATTTGTTTGATAGTCATAGGTACCACAGCTGTGCATAACTTCATGTTTGTGCAGCAATAGGTCATTAAAATAAATGTGGTATGTTAATTTTCTGAAGGTTTTATGAAACAAAAACCTGTGCCAAACTGAGGTCATATCAACTGAATTCTGAGTTCTGCCAAGAAAGATGAATTCTGGAACCTTCAGTGCCTACATTTCAAAACATTGGCTGTAGCACCTCCATACAGTAAAGTCAGTCAGATAAATGTTTTTAATATGCTGTTCAAGGATGCAGCTCTTCAGGATGTCAGGCTAAAATCCCTCTGCTAAAATTGAAGCATATAGAAAAACAATTTCCTTCTCTTAGTTCTCACTCTATTTTGTCTCCATACCACTCAAAGACTTTTGCTGTATTTTTAACAGTTTTGGGTTCTCTCTCTTCCAGCAACACTGAATTGGGCACCCCTTCGTTTTTAGTGAAGTGGCCAAATTGTGTAAAACTAGAACAGCACTACAGCTCTGAATACACTCAGCCCTTGTTCCTTTCTTCTTGTGTTTGCTCTTTCCCACTTTGCCCCAACTAGTAATGAGATCTTGCAGAAAAACTAATTTCCCTCTCAACTTCAGAGACTGAGAGAAACTTTTATGGCATATTACTTGGTTTTCATTCCTGTCTGGTGTGCTGATGGACACCACCAGTGACTTAACCATACTAATATATGATACATACAATTTTTAAATGCCTATGTTTTTATTACACATATATTATTACGCCTATATATATTTTAAATATATTTAAAATCTGTCTCTATGGCAGTCTCTGGGTATTATCTAAATGCTAGCTGATTACAGAAAATCTCCAGGTGCAAAGAGGGCTCAGCTTTGGATGATTCTCTATACTTGCTTGGAACAAGTGTCAAGGAAATTGTGGACCAGAACTTTCCACACCTGAAATCTCTGCTGAAAATTGTGTTGTCGGTGTTTTGACTAGGGAGCCTTACCATCAGCATCACAGATTGTGACCATAACAAACCTTAAATTGTGTTTTAAGGGAGTTCTAAAGTCACATATATTTTGGTCATCTTTTAAAATGCAACATAAGCAGCTGAGAGAGCTTCTTTCTCTAGAAAATACTTGTCAGGCTTGGCTTTGGTTGGTTCTGAATAGGCAGGCAAAAGTTTGGTCATCTCATCTAAAAGATAAACATCTACTTCTGGCAGAAAATACTGTTTCCTGTCACACGCTCTCCTTTTATTGTTTGGTAGTAAGAACAAAAACAGTATGAAACTGGTAAGAAATATTACTTCTTTTGGAATGGATCCTTAGTATGGGAAGTGGGGAATTTAGATGTGCTAGAAGTGGAACGGACAAAAAGAATGTACTCTGCAAAAAGTTGATCTCTCTAAGGGCAGTTTAGAGCAATATTTTTGAAAGTACTTCATATTTCTGTGAGAAGTTCAAGGTCAACTTAAAAGAAGAAGTTACTGATTGACTGGGGGAGGAAGAATATGGTAAGGCAGTAATGTTCTCTTTATTCCAAGCAATACATTACAAACAGAAGGGGGACAGAAGGTAAATCATTAATCTGTGAGCCCAGGTGAGCCTTTGTGTTTCTTTTGCAATTGTTCTGTTTTTTTTTCTGGGGGCCAGACTTTCCTTTTCAAGAGTTTCCATATGCATAAAAGATACGTACCTGTCTTATGTACTTTTGAAGTTATAATTTCTAAGAGTAGTGTAAAAGGGTCTGGCCATCTGCAAGGTTTCTGAGGCAGCAACAGAAACTTCTGCACCTGGCTTGGCTGTAACGTAAGAGAAAGAGGCACCACACATTTGGGGGTTTGACATTTAGCTAGTTTGCTTTGGGGTGTTTTTCTTTGTATGGAAGGAAAATTTCCAGAGTAATCATGGTGGGCTTTTTACAAAGTTTGTTGTTTAAAGTTCAGGTCTCAGTGTATCTCTGTTAGATACTGCATGAGCTAAGTTGGGGTGTTTTTTAATCACTCCTGTACTGAAACGGTACAGTCCCTTTGGTTCCTGTGTTGTTTTTAATTCCAAATAACGATTTTTTTTTTTTTTTATCCCAAGGAATCCCAATGTATTGAACATTTTATAATGAGTGTATTATAGAGTTTTCTTATCAGTCACCTTTCACTTGAAACAATCAGGCATGCAAGAATGCAAATTATTTTCTCTTCTGCTATGGGATAGAGCTCTGATGTGTGAACTCCTCTGGCCACCCAGATTAGTTATGGGGTGGTTGTGTTGAGCCAGAAAGTAGAAAGACTGTCTTGAATATGTGCCTGCTTCTGATTATGAGAGGGCACCCTGGCACAAAGGAAGTCTGTCTTCTGAGTCATTGATCTAAACAGATTTTTTGCTTCTGACTTGGTTTTGAGAATGCTGGAGGACTTTGGCACTTTTTTGTAAAATTATGTGCCTGTGCTACAGGAAGTCCTTTTCTGGCTAGCTCACATTACTGCTTGAGCTGTCTTAACTTGGGCTCACTGTTTACACAGTGGGCATATAAAGTGCATGGAGTTAAAACCTTCTTAATTGCTAGTTCAGCAAATGACTTTGTGTGAGGAATGATAGTCTGTTGGTGGATTGACTTGTATTTAAGTAACTCAGGCTGAATAGTTTTACTGAAGGCAAGCCCTGTGATGAGATTTCATGAGCTCATAGAAACAAAGGAATTTAGCAGGACCCCTCTTCTCTTGTGTGTGTGTGTGTGCTGCTTTAGATTGCTTTCCTCTTTCAGGATATTAAAAAAAAAAAAAAAGCTTACCTAGACGATAATTGCTTTTTACAAGTTAAAACAAGAAACTGGAAAAACACAGGCTTCTCTGTGAGTAGCTTATTTTTAGTTCATTTGTTCAGGATTGAGTAAACTCTGAGATGAGGCATCATTAGTCAGATTATTCATTGTAAATTTTAGTAAAATGTTGTAACTTAAAAGTTCCTGTACAGGCAAATGACAGAGTAGATTATTATTTTGAAATGGGTGTGGTTTGTGGATGTGATTTCCTCTACTATGAAATATCCACAGTAGTAATCAAAACAAAATGGGTTTTTGAAAGAAAGAGTTGCCTTTTAAAGGTCTTGCTAGCCTTTTTTTTTAATAAGACATTTAAGAAGTGTCTTCATAATTGAATCTTGATATAATGAATCCGTATCTCCAGCACAGCATATGCAGCATCACACAGACTTGGTGCCTTTATTGTGTTTAATTGATAATATATAAATTTAACCCATTCTTTGACATATTTTCCAGTCTCTTTTAGCGTCTTTTGCTACATTTTCCATTTCACATTTAGCATTATAGAATCACAGAATGATTTGGGATGGAAGGAATCTTAAAGATAATCTAGTTCCAACCCCTTGCAGGAACAACTTCCACTAGACCTGGTTGCTCCAAGCCCCATCCATCTTGGCCTTGAACACTTGCAGGGATGGGGCATCAACAACCTGTGCCAGTGCCTCATTACCCTCACAGCAAAGAATTTCTTCCCAATATCTAATCTAAGTCTGCCCTCTTCCAGTCTGAAGCCATTCCTATTTGTTTTGTTGCTACAGGCCTTTCTGAAAAGTCCCTCTCCAGCTCCCTTGTAGCCTGCCTGGAAAGCTGCTAAAAGTTTTCCCAAAGCCTGCTCTTTTCCAGGCTGAACAATCCCAACTCTCTTAGCCTGTCTTTGTAGTGAATTGTTAAAAGCCAGCATGATCACAAAGACTCTCAAATTAATTAAAGTTAGAAAGTAGTATGATTATTATTCACTGGTGGGTGGCATGGGGGTCCTCCCCAAAAGGCATGACTGCGCCGAACAAGGTTCTCTTCCCTCTAGTTATTTCCCAAAATCTTATGTACAATACACATGCATAACCCCAGCACCTCCCATCCCCATTCAGTATTAAAGTGAGGGTATTAGTCCTTCACATGTGTGCAGTTCTTCTCTTAAATTGGGTCAGTGGTCTCGAATTGGGTCAGTCGTCTTCAAAGGATGAAACCAGGAAAGTCTTCATCGGGTCTCTGTGACCCTCTGGCACAATCCAAGGCCCCCTGCTTTGTGACTGATAGAGAGTCCAAGTGCTGGCCATTGTTCTCAGTGGTTTCAGTCTGTTCTTATAACGCTTCACTTACTCCACTTTCTTCTGTAAACAAGCTCGTAATAGCAAACAATATGACAATTAGCTCTGGCTTAAGCATCTAATAATCATTAACCTACCATAGGCTTATCTGACTTGCATCTTGATCATTATAAGTTGCTTCTAACTCTGATCTAAAATCTTAACTCTTCAAAAATCATGATTCAGTAGAAGTGGTGCTCTTCATCTCCCAGGATCATCTCCCTGGCCTCCTCTGGACTTGCTCTGAGACACATCCTTTGTGTGTCACGGGCCCTAGAGCTGGATACAGCACTCATGGTGGGTCTTCCAAGAGCAGAGCTGACCTGCTGCCCACACTGCTTTTGAAGCAGCCCAGGATGTGGTTGGTTTCTGGGCTGCAGGGGCACATTGCTGGATCTCATTGAGTTTTTCATCAACCAGCATCAGCAAGTCCTTCCCCCCAGGGCTGTTCTCAATCCATTCTCTGCCCAGCCTGTGTTTGTGCTTGGGATTGTCCCGACCCAGGTGCAGAATTTTACACCTGGCCTTGCTGAACTTTATGAGGTTGGCATGGGCCCACTTCTCAAGCCTGTCACGGTGCCTCTGGATGACATTCCTCTCTGCAGCATGCTGACTGCACTTCACAACTTGGTGTTGTTGGCAGACTTGCTGTGGGTGCCCTCGATCCCACTGTCCTTGCTGCTGACAGAGATGTCAGTGCCAGTCCCAGCACTGAGCCCTGAGGACACCACTCGTCACTGCTCTCCACTCAGACATCAGACTGTTGACTACAACTCTGAGTGTGACCATCCAGCCAATTCCTTATCCACCAAGTGGTCCCTCCATCAGATCAATGTCTCCAGTTTAGAGGCAAGGATGTTCTGCAGGACAGTGTCAAGTGCTTTGCACAAGCCATAGATGACATCAGTTACTCTTCCCTGTCTACCACTGCTGTGACCCTGTTGTAAAAGGCCACCAAATTTGTCAGGCACACTTTGCCATTAGTGAAGCCATGTTGGCTGTCACAAATCATCTCTTTATTTAAGTCATATTGGTTAAAATAACCTAGAATAAAGAGGAAATGACATTTAATTTCCATGTGTAGAATTTAAGAACAATTGAGGGTGGGTGCCACCTCTGATTATTTCACCCAGACCCCTGTTCAAAGCAGAGACAGTTTCAAAAGTTAGATTTGGTGGTTCAAGCCTTATGTGGTCATGTCCTTAATATTTCCAGGGTTGGAGATTTAGAAAATTCTCTGGAAAACCTGCTCCAGTGATTGGTGGTGTGATACATTTATAATTTTTTTGGTCTTTGTTCTAAGAGAAATTTTCCATGGTCCTCTGTCCTTTTATCCCTGTCCTTTGGATCTGAACCTCTGAGAAGAACTTGGCTCTTCCAAATATGTATGTGCCCATTAAGAAATTGTGGATAGGAATTAGGTTCCCCCTTTGTCTGGTCCTCACAAGTCTGAACAGATCCTCATCTCAGCTTGTCCTTGTATGTGCTTCAGTCCCCAAGCCATGTGTGTGGCCCTTTAAGTATTTTTTATTTGATATCTATTTAAAGCTGTAATTAAATGCATGCTTGTTATAGCATCTTGGCAAATAGATAGACCAGACCCTGTAACAAGCTTCTCTTCTTTCTTTGATTCTGTCACTGATGTTGGGGAAAGTGTGAGGACACCCTCTAAAAGGATATGTGCTAAAAGAGGCCTATTGTATAAATCCACACAGATTTCAGAGAATGCAAAATAGCAACTACTCTGTGGGTATTCATCCTCAGTTATTAATACAGGCAAAGTGATTAAATTAAAGCACTTCTGTTGAAAATACTTGCTCTTTCACATCCTTTAATAGTTTGGCTAACTACAGGAAGCCTAAAGTTTAGAAAGAGTTTGATAGAAGATCATACTTCAGTGTATTATCCTGAATTAGTCTCATGAATCACTTGGTTTTGTGAGATATTTATTTTTCAGCTTTTGAAGAGGGTTTCTGTTCTGGTAAAAACATTAATCATGGATAGCCTCAATTGAAATGTTGTGCACATTTTTTCTTCCTCAAGGGTGATGCAGTGGGTGACAAGCCCCTGGAAGTCCATGCTGCTTCAAATAAAGAGCAAACCAAGAAGTAGAATGCTACATCACCTGGCATCAAACAGGTAAAGGATAAAGACTGGTAATAGTTTGTGGCTAAGCAGCAGATTAACTTGGAGGAGTGGAACATTTTCAAGTTTGACTTGTAGTTTTCTTCATAATGATTAGGAGAGTGTGGACAGACAATTTTATTTGTCCTAAAATTTGTCAAGAATATATGTGCCCCCTAACACTATTTAAGTTAAGAAAATTAAACTCTTCATATTTAGAGCATAACAAGTAAATATATCTGCTTGAAGTGTTCTGAATTAATTGAGGAAGGCCTTGTGATTGTGGTGTTGGTTGGTTTTTGCCTTTATTTTTCTTTTCTTCTCTTTAATTTCTGCCTCCTGTACCAAAAACCTCTTTGCCTTCTTTGTCATGCTTGTGCAAGTATTAGGGTAGGGAAAGAAACATCTTCCCTGCTGATAAGTTTTCTCTAAGGATTTGTGAGTGCCAGGGTACAGTGCTGCCTTACAGGCTGTAAAAGTCTGTGATGTGCCTGACCTTTCATGTTAATGCAGCTTCCACATGAGTCCTGTTGGGAACAAAAGATGGAAGAAACGAAGGCAGCATTTTCCAGGCTCTCCAAGGCAGAAACTCCAGTTGAGATACCAGTTCTGGCTTGGCCTCAGGGCTGTGTTCTAAACTCCTATGGTTACAGTTTCTAGAAAAGCAAAACAAAAACATCCTCTTGACTTTTTAATAATGGTTTGGTTTCATTGGATAGAAATTGCTCTGTATTTGAGGATTATTACAAATAATTAGAATGTAATTTGACATAATTTAGTGCAAAATATCAGATGTCTGCTCTGTTATCAGTTGATAAAGAATGTCTCTTCTGAACATGTTTTCTACTTGCTTCTCTTTGTCCTGTATTATTTTTGCATTATATTAAAAACTTACTTTTTATCAGAAAGTGATCCTGTCATTATGGGGACTGTCATAATTTTTGTATGCAGTTTTCCATTTATTTAATTTAAAAATAAATTGAAATTTTTTTTTTTTTTCCTTACTGCCAGTTGTGTAAATAGAGTCCAGGTCTGGCCAACTGGCATCACTTTTTTTCCATGCATCAGCATCAGTCACATATGTTTGCAGATGTGGTGGAATGCACTCACCTGCTGGGCAGCAGCGTTCCACTGTTACATGGGCAGCTTTAAAAAAAACCCTAGTTTTTAATGCTGGCTCCCTTAAAGTGTTTTTAATTGCTATTGCTAATTCTTACAGCAGCAATGTGAGCTTATTGACTGGCTGATGTACTGAGTACCTTAGCTTTCCCTTTAGAGCTATGAATATAGTCTTTAAGAATACATGTTTTACAAGTAGTTTGTAAGATAGTCATGTAAAATAAAAAATTAAAAAATAATAAGAGGAGTTTTAGTGGGGTTTTTTTCTGTAAAAAATTCTAAGAGAGCTGAGAGGAAGTAAAGACTCTCTGAAATTGACTTAAATATTGTTATGCTTATTGTTGACTAGGACAGAGCTACTAAATTATAAAAAACCAAGAAAACTGAACTTTTGTTTGTGACACTGTACAAATATCAAGGTTCATTACAGACAGAAATGCATAAATAGGTTTTATTTTCTTTTAGAATTTCTTGCTATGAGTATAATTTCTATTAGGAATTTATTCACTTTTTTAAATGTCAGCCTTTTGCTTCAGGGACATTTTCTTTGTTTGGGGGAGGTTTTAAGAGAGTAAAGATAAATTGCCCAGGAGTTTGAAGTACCTGGGTGCTCTTGGTTTGAAACCTACGTGCTTCACCTCATGTTGTTTCTGGAGGAGGCACATGAAGGGAACTGCTGTGTTTTTGACTTGGGGCAACCAGATGGTGAAAGTTCAATTCGGTATCAAGTTCAGCTGTTCTGCGGGGGTGGCAGTTTGTTACTTGTGCTTGAAATCAAATCCAGTCATTTAACTCCATACCCAAGTCCAGATGTTATGTTGGGTTTCTGATCCCAGAGGTTGGAGAACATTGCTGTGATCTTTGAAAAGACATATTTTTTAAAATTCTGGATGAGATCAGTCCTGAAAGTCTCACTGCATTTTCAACTGTTGGTAATATTCCTAGTTGAATGTGGTTGCTAAAATAAAGACAGTCTCATTTCCTTAATGATTTGCTACAACATGGGTCTCTGAGCTGTGAATGGTCAGCCAAGAACAAAATCATATTGGGTTGAAGACAACAGCATATTTCTCTATTCCAAAAACCAGCAGCATTGCACCTCCTTTATTTTCGTTTGTTTGTCATCAAAAATTATATGCAAACTTCAGCTCAAACCACATCCCAGTGTAGAAGAAGCAAGCTTTAATTTTATCCAGCTGTTGTGTTTAGGAGTTGCATGGAAGTGACAGAGTTTTGTGTTTTTCCATGAAGGTAGCATATCTCATTTTCACTGTGTTCCAGATCTATATTTATGTAATTCCATTTCTTTGAGTTCAGTTGCCCTTGTTTTACACCAGAGTAAATAAGATTAAGAAAACATGCATTTGATGGGAATTTAGAAGATTTCTTTTTGAGAAAGTTGGTTTATTATACAAGATTCATATACAGTTGGTGTTTGGTTGTTTGAAGTGTTCTCTTCATCTTTCCATTTAGTTCAACTATGGGAATCGAGTTCCCTAGAACAGACATCAACATTAGTGCTCTAATGTCATTAATATGAAGTTAAATGTCTCTACTGCAAAATATCAGTAATGTGAAGAGTTAAATATCTCTACTGCAAACAAATTGGTATTGAGAATGTTCCTCAAACAGATTTTGATCAACTTGCCACATCAAAGAAGAAAAGTTTTGACTGCACTTTAAAAATGAATAGGCCTGTGATAAATTTAATTCCACTTTCTCCCTGCTTCCCTCTCCCCCTTAATCTCTGTCCCCTTTCTTTGGTTATAGGTGAATAAAAATATAGATATGAGCAACAATTTCCCAAGAAAAAGATGAAAACCATCTGAATCCATTTTGAATGTGACTAATCTGCCTTTGCCTCAGGACAGTCTGGTGATCTGCTGCTCGGGCTTCTGGTATGGCTTCTGTGAAAGGACACTACATGTTTTGGGTCAGTCTTGAGACTTCATCCTCTGTTCTGCAGTGGGACTCAAGTCTGTCCATGTTTGTCCCATTGCAGGATCAACATTTCAAGTAGCAAGTCTCAAAAATCCTTCGGTCTCTTTATTATTTATATATAAAATAAAATTCCAGTTACAGAAAATGGTCCATTTTTTCCCCTCTTCCTGTCTTCTTTAAACTCACGGATGTGATGTTTGCACAATCTGAGACGTTCTTGAGGCGGTGTTGACAGTGCCTGTATTTTCCACCAGCAAGGAAAGCTGACAGTAGTAGGATGTTTTGGCTAACATGAGCTCACAGAATTGGGAATGGGAACAATTACAATGACTCTTGTGTTTTGTCTAAGTCCCCCGCCTCCTTTCTATACAAGTCCTCTGCCTCATCAGTGCCAGCAGGAGGTGTGTAATGAAGCATCTGTGAGTTCCTGTCTGGTGGATGGATGGGAATGGAGCTGTTAATGCTTGTTCTTGTTTTTGCTTGAATGCACAGCACAGTGGGAACCAGAACTTTACCGTGGTGGGAACCAGCTACAGAGTAATTGGCTGTTTCCTTATTCCCAGCCAGGGGAGGGGAGGAAAATGTGATGTGGAGGGAAATACAAAAGGATTTCTAGCATTTTGAAATCTTTGCACAATAAAGCCCTTTCATCGTTTCTCATTTCCACGATCTCTATTTTGGGGCTTGATGTATTACAAGTTACTGTAATCCAAGTAGTTCAGAGCATTTAAAGCTCTGAATTTTAAATTGATGCTCCTTAATTAATCAGAGAATATGAAGAATTGGGGAAGGATAAGATGAAATACATTTTTGTATGATACATTAACTTTCTAAAAAGAGCAGGGAACAAAATGCAAAGTGAATCAGATTCAAAATGTTTTTAAACATCTTTGTTATTCCATGGTTAGGTATTCCTGTTATTGCATGGTTAGGTATTCCAGCTGAGCATATTCCACAGACTTTTTTAGAGAAAAACAAACAGACCTTGGCAGTGTGAATGCCAGTCTGTGTGGGCATTGTAAAACAGGCCAAGTCTTTTTTAGAACAGGCAATAAGGCATGTGGTTGCCTCAGGCAGAAAAACAATATCTCTCAACATGTTCAGTGCATGTTTTTATGATTTAGGCTGGTAAAGATATATGTTGATATAGGGAGCAGAGTTCCTGCATGGGGTTTGGGAGCTGTGTGTGTGAGGTTTTGTTTATACTTTAAACTTGCCAACATTGTTTAAGCAGGCTTGGGAGGATCAAAGTAGTGTTTTTGTCAGTGGTGGAAAGGAAACTTGGGAAATAGAGCTGTAACTGCTCTGTTACACCACTCCTGTGGTACAAGCATAGATTTGTTTCTGCCCTTAAAAATAGGTCTTCACTTACACATTCTCATATCACAGAGAGAATAATCACCATAGGACTAGGAATACAGCTTTAGATGCCTGGGGTTTTTTTTTTCAGTTTCATATTATTTCAATATTTGGCATATGTCACATTGGCATTTAAGGACATGATTACTTGTTAATTCAGTTATTTGTTTATATATACACGTGTGCATGTTTAAAAAGCCTGAGGTAAATGCTCTCCTAAATGCTTTTCACTTGATCAGATCTTCATTCAGCATATTTACACTGCTGCTTCAAAATGTCCCAAGTGATTGACATCAAACCGGAATGCTTTTATCTAGCAGGAAATGACTGCTTTCAAGCACCTGCATGCACACATGACAAGGAGACAGTTCCAAAGTGTGAGCAAGACAGCCTTAGCTGGAATCCTCTCCTTATGTCTTCTGGTTTTTATAACTACAGGAAATAAAGAAAAAGTGTGCTGGTAAGAGCCCAGGAGTTTGTAAACATTCAACTCGCTTGGCAAAGACCTTCCTAATGAGGAACAGGAGAGGAGCTGACCACTGTTGATGTCCATATATCTGTATATGTGTGCACACACACGGAACTAAACTGTGCATGCATGTGTTACCTTTTGCCAGACTTTGCCTGTGGGTACTATGGTGAAGGCTAAAAATGGTATATTCCCCACCCAAGCATGGTGTTTGGTCATCCTTCCACTTGAAGTTTTTGCCTTGGCAACTGGACTGTGTGCAGCTGAAAGAGTGTTCTCATCTCAGCATCCTCAGCTACACTGGCTGCAGCAGGGCTTGGGGCCAGGTTGCAGTGCTCTCTCGTAAAAACACCATCTTTAATCTGCAGCATGTGAAAATTGTAGAACTGGAGGTCATCAGGATGGCCCTGTGTTGGGATGAAGATTCTTGTAGGCAGCATGTCATGTGTCAAAAGTGACAGTGAAGTCTCTTGTTTGCTAGAAGGAGCATCACCAGCCTGGATTAATCCAGTTAGCCTAGGTAAATGTGCCCAGTCTTGCAGCCTTCAATAAACACACAGGATTTTGCCACAAATGTTCATTGCAAAAGTCTGTTTTAGACTCAGTGCTTTGACTGCAGGAGGCCCCAGACACAGACTTCTCAGCAGTCATAATTCAAATATTTTGGAGCATTTCTCATTGCATCTGTCACTTTCAAGGAGAGCGGTAAAAACCAAGATTGATATGGAGGGAATTGCATTTTACCTCTTGAGAAAACAGTGCCCTGGGAGTTGAAGGGACTAGTTACTGCTGTTTATTGGCAGAAAAACCTCAGTGTGAGCACATGTACTTCCAGACAAATAGAAACTGCTGTATTTGTTTATTTTTTCCTCTTTTTTTTTTTTTTTTTTTTTTTTTTTATTTTTTTTTTGGTTGGTTGGTTGTTATTTGTTGTTTTTATTATTTCTGTACCTTCCTATAAATTCTAAAGCCAGTTTCATCACAATAAACTGCTATTCACAAAGAGCATTTGGGCTGTTCAGGCATACTGGGAAGGCCTGCATGGCTTCCCACTGGACCTTCCCGAATGCAGCCTCTCACAGCAGTGTTGGCTGTTGCACCTGGGTGGCCTGGCAGCTGCCTGGGTTAACCCCCTTCCAGAGGGGTTTGGACAGTACAAAAGATTCTTGCTTACAAGACAAACATTTGATAACAATATCTAAACCACAAAACAGAAGTTGTTTCAGCAAAAAAAACCCAGTATGTTTATAATTGTGCAACAACGCCCTGTCCTCTTAAGTCTGTACCATTAGCTGATTCTGGTATTTTTTGACTGGACATAGTTCTTAGGTTGACTGGAGCTGGCAGCTTTCTTAGGGTCCCTCTGGAGAAAATGGTAGTGTATTGATGCAATTTCTCCTATTTCATGTCAGTGAAATTCATCACTGGCTATCTCTTCTTAGAGATGAAAGTCTGAGCTGGACTTGAAGTTCATGGATTCCTCCAGAGTGCCACTCTCACAGCCGTGTTTTCAGGCTATTGTTCTAGTAGCCATTGCACTGATGGTCAAAGTTGGCAAAATCAGAGGTGGGCTGAGGATGTCACAGCTGGTTACAAGTCTGCTCCCTCAGAAGGATTTCTCCCTTCCTCTGCTCCACTGGAAATGGACCTGCAATGCCTGCACTGGACTAAGCTCTGTTGACTCCTCCTTACCCTTTTTCTTCGTGTGTGTGTGTTTGCATTGAAGGGTCTAAGTCTACCAACACAAAAAGCCAGTCAGTCACATGTGCTGTGTCCAGCTGTGGCAGTGCAGTGCTCCATCACCAGCCCCAGTTACTGAGGAATGATCCTGTTATGGGTAAGCTTTGCTGGATCTTCTGGAGAGAGGAAATCCCAGCTGACTGGCTTGCAGTGTGCCTGGGAAATAGCCATGGCACAGCCTGAGCTGTGCTCATGATCCCAGAGCCTTTGGGCCCGCTGTGAAGGGGGCAGTGGGGACAATGGGACAGCTTGGTCAGGGAACTTCTCCTTTTGTTTATAGTGCGATAATAAGCATTCACAAGACTCAAGATTTTGATAGGTAAAGGATTTAAAGCTAAAGGATGCATTTTAATCTGTGTCCAGCTCTTCCTCAGCAAAGCTAACCTTAAGTTATAAGCCAGCCTATGAAGTAACAGGATGGGTCATTTGCTGTTTGGCTGAGGGGACAGATGCTGCGGCAGGAAGGCTGTTGGTGCAGTCCTTTACCCGCTGGGGCTATGTAGACAGGAGGGCTGCTGGAGAGCACTTCATCTTTTTCCAGGGGCTTGTGCAATGTGCATTTTAAGGGAGTAGTGAGCTCAGCCCCTGCATGCCCAGATAAAAGAATAACCTCACAAGGAGAACTTCATTTGTTTCTGCTTTGGCCTTTAAGTGTGAAGCCACAGGACCCACCACGTCCCGTACCAAAATCTTTAAAAATCGGCCGTTCTGTGTCCCACTGCATCTGAATCTTCCATGTCTTTATCTGGAGTACCTTCGTCCAACTCCAGGGCGCAGCACCCGTGCCTTTGAAGAAGTTCAGTGGGTTTCTTTGAACGGAAAGTGATGCCCGAGCAGCGCCCGGCCGGAGCGCTGGGGAGCCCTGGAGGGAAGGCTGCCCCGAGCAGGGCTGCTCCGCGATGCTGCCGCCTCGCAGCTTCACCCCAGGGATGCAGGAAAGCTCTCGCCGCCCCAACGAAGGGGGCAATGCTGAAGCACGAAGCCAGAATTGTCTTCGTGGCTGTATGCACGTACCATCGAGGGATTACAGCTGCGGACGGCCCCCACCACCACCGTTTTAGCCCCTTTAATTTCTTGTTGTTGTTGTTCTTGAAACCGGTGTACATGGGGAGTTTGTGTATCAATCCTCAGTGAAAAGAAAAGGGATTCTTCCCTTCCCCCCACCCCCTGCCCCAGATTAAGTTCACCAGCGTCCTCTTTGCAAATTTAGCAAGCTTCAGACTCACTTCCTTTTGTCAGGAGACCTGAAAGAGCCATTTCCTGATTCGTACAGGGCTCTTGTATGCGCACACTAAGTGCTCATTCATGCCGTGAATCATAAAGGTAACCTCAGTTCAAAGCACTGCGCTGATACTTCGGCGTGGGACCAAAAAAAAAAAAAAAAAGAAAGGAGAGAGAGTTTTGTAATTCAGCTCAACGCGCTGAAGTCATCTTCGCATTTACCGAGGAGCCGCGCCAGAGGGGTTTGATGTGCTGTCTTAAAAGCATCGTTTACAAACTGCCCAAACTAAAACGGGCTGGTGAAAGCACCAAAGCCAGCCCCAAAGACTATGTTTACTGTCGTGTGCCAGGCTTGACACATTTTTCAT